CAGAGAGCAGCAGGTAAGCGCATAGCCCCTCCTGATAGCCCTCAATGTCTACGTGTATTTAAAATTGAGAGGTGGGCAATGACGCCAGGGGTGAGGTGTACACCCTGATGGTCTTTTGGATTCCGTGTAGTGTGCCCACCCCATATGCAACGAACAAAATCATCTTCTTCACTGTGATTGCTGGATCAGTTCTTTCAATCTGTTGTCAGTCAGCTGTTGAAAATTGTTGAACCGCTCCCTTCCCATCTTTTGCCTTTTTACTTTGGTCACTGGAATATTGCTCTATAATTTGCATAGAAGATGCAAACTATGTTCTGCAATCACTGTCTGTTGGAAAATTTCTTTTTCTCAATATAAATCTAATTTTTAATGCCAGTTTAACAGTGACTTATCTGATACATTTATTAATGTTTTCTCTTTCAGTCAAACTAGTGCACTTATAAAGTGTTTTTCTTCTCAATCTGAACACTCAAAGTACTTTTAACATGCAACCCTCATTCACCCAGTTTGTTTTTTCTGACTTTCTATAAGAGCTAAATGCTAAATACTCCTCAGTGATGTAGTCCCGGGTCAGACATCTATAAAAATCCTGCTTGACCTGCAGACAGTCGTTGTCAGGAGGAGAGAAGCTGCAGAGAGCCAAATACTGCAAGGAAGACAAGAAATGACATACAGGGTCATTAGGTTCAAAATGGGAATTAAATCCAAAAGAATAATTACTTTTGATGTGTTCTCTTTGTTTCTCAGTTAAATGTGGGTTTAAAAATCTTTCCAGATCAATTTTTTAATATCTGCATTTTGTTTCACACAATTAATGCCCACTATACACTTAACAGGAAGAAACTCGAATCACAGGCCAATGTCTCCACCCACCGTGGATGTGGATGAAGTTTATTCAAGTGGATGAATGAACTCCATTTACATGATGATATTTTGGCTGATGTCACCACTGAGCATAGTTGTTAATCAAAACTTCCTGTCATATGTGGTTTCCTAATCCTTTTGCACCTTACACCAAGAATTAGGGGTTTTGTGCTACTTTTGTTCTGAATTTTGTTTTCAATGCTTTTATAAATGAAGATTAAAAGCTATTTTTGACGCTGCCTATGGTATTTTATTTAAAAGCACCATTTTCCTGATATTGGGAATTATCAGGGTTAGAGATAAGCTTTTATTGTGCACCCTCTTTAATGTTTTAATGTCACCAGATTTGAAAATGTCACCTCAGCCCTTTGTTGTGTTAGACTGGGGATGAAGATTCACAGGGAGCAGAACTACTTTTGGTGCTTTGCTGCCACCTGCTGTCTGCTTTCTGTGAGTCATGTGAGCCATGTGATTTAAAAAAAGGAACATTTCAAAGAAAATCAAACATCTCTGCATCATTTTTCTGCCTTTGAGAAATTTTAAGTGCTGTTTAAATGATTCAGTGTAAATGAAATTTAAATCTACAACAGCTAAACATTGCTGCCTATCTCAGCTGTCAGAGGCTGAGAAGTGGGGTACACTCTGGACAGGTCCCCAGTCTGTCACAGAGCAAACACAGAGCTATTTATGTTCATTTATAAGATCAATTAGAAATGATCTGATAATATGAGCCCTGGACTGAGACAGGAAGCCAGAGTGTCCACAGAGAACACGTGCAGGCAGTGCGAGAACATGCAAACGCCACACAACTTTCCTGGCCTTCATATATTATATTGTACTAATACTAGCACCATTATAATATTATGTTATTATTGTGTTAGTTATAATCAGTGTTTGTGTTCAGGTAACACTATGCAATATATTCAGTTTTAGAATTTATATTCAATGTTAACTGTAACCATGCTCAAAGTGTTAATGCTGTCTCATTTTAATAAACATCACTGTCATATGCGAAACTAGGCTGGCACTGTGGGTGGCAAGAGATCATTTCAGGGTGGCACATGCAACCCCATGCCACCCTTCTAGATCCGGGCCTGGCACTACCAGTAAACAAAATCAGTTTAGACCAGTGACTGATTTTCAGGAGAAAAACCTCAAATCATCTTGAACCATGGAGCAGTAAATGTTCTGTTTGGTTATTGCTTTTGTCAGATTTCAGCCTGTAAATGGTGCATGTTGTCAGAGAGAGGTGGTGTGACTGAATGTGAGACCATCTAAGAAGAAAAGTGACAACGCATCAAGTAGGTAATAAGCAGACATCCTGTTTGAAAAGACCAAATAACTAAATCAGATAAGTCTGTGTGGTGCACATGTTGGAACTTTTTAGCAGTAAAGACAAACAGGAAATAAGTCAGAGCGCTGTTTAACAGTTTGGTTACTGTGTGTTTCCTCATTTAGGTGATTTTATTAAACTGAGAGGACATAACAACTCAAGCAGCTTTTCCTGATCACTGAAAACAGGTGAAATACAGGTGAGTATTTTTATTCTTTTGTACTGGCGATTACTGGTGAAATACTCAATATTCCCTCCACACAGCAGCACCACAGCTCGCTTTTATCAGTGTTCATGAAACGTATTACTGACTAACATCGAGGGCATGCTGGTGCCATCTGGCCTAATAATCAACCTTACATTCTTTTGTGGGGTTCATTGTAAACAATCTGTGATGAATATATCGTTATATTCAGTGTTGTATATTCAAACATTCCAATCTAAAATTTGATTAAAGTATTTTCGCAGTTTTATTACAGTTAATAAGACTCGTTAATCACCTGAGACAACTGTTGTGAAAGAAAGGGCCATGGATCAAAATTGTTTGTAGTAGAGCTCAACACAAGCTACGCTGCAGTTTGTAAAATTAGTTTGTTGCATTAAAATAAGGTTAAGACCGTGAAGTTGCATCCTCTCAACAATGTATGTCAGTGGATTTATTTTCTCCAGAAACATGGGTGACTCAACAAATGCGACGTCATCTCCCAACCTCCGACCCTGTGATGTTGTCAGAACACCAGTCCATGCTTTCTTTGTGGTGGTCTACAGTCTGTTGTTTCTGGTAAGTTTCAGATTTTCAGATGTGCTCAAGACATGGAACTTCAGCACACCTGCTCTGGTACAAATTGGTTTAAGGTTCTCTGTGCATCTACCAAAGTCCTGCCTTCCCCATCCTTTCTGCACCGCATTCAGGTGGGTTTACTCCTCAATGGCTTCATCATGAAGTTTTACTGTTGTCGGGCTCAGCAGCAGACATCCAGCAGCTTGATGGTCTACCTGAAGAACCTGACAGCTGCTGACTTCCTGCTCTGCCTCTCTCTGCCACTGCGCATCGCCCACTATGCCAGCAGCTCTCCTATTGTTCAGGAGCTCTACTGCAGCTTTGGAGCTTCTGCCTTGTACCTCAACATGTACGCCAGCATCATATTTATGGGGTACATTGCTGCCAACAGGTACAGAACCATTAGCAATTTAAACTGCAGTTCATAACCATGTTAAAACTGTGATTAATGGGTTAATTACACACATCGTCGCTTTTCAGATTATTAATGACTTCTGAAGATTTGGGAACACTGTGACTGATTAGTGAAGTTTTTCACCGCCTCTTTTCTCTTCACTCTACAGGTATCTGAAGATCGCCCATCCTTCAGGAACTCACATCCTGCAGACAGTGCGAACTGCCCACATCATCTCCATGGTCACCTGGGTTTTTCTTCTGGCTGCATCAATTACATACACCATCCTGTTTTTCATCACCAAGAAACCACTGACCTCAAACTCCATCAGGTGTGGTTATATGTTAAGGACATCGGTCAACCTGTTCTCCAAAATTACCCATGTCAGCTGCACCATCATCTTCCTCGTGGTCTTCATATCCCTGGTCTTCTTCTACTACAGCACCTCCTGCAGGGTGTTGCAGGCACAGCAGAGGCAGCTGGCCTCCTCTGGCTCTGAGAAGCTGGTGAAGTCTCGCAGGAACATGTTGGTGCTGGTCAGCATCTTCTGTGTTTGCTTTGTCCCCTATCACCTCGTTCGACTCCCCTATACTTTTCTGTGGAGCAGCTGCTCTGTTGGTTCAGTGTTGTACTACCTGAAGGAAGTGGCCACCATGGTGTCAGTTTTCAACATCTGTCTGGACCCACTTGTTTACTTTTACCTCTGTAAGACTTTTCGGGCTCAGGTGAACCTGAGAAAGGCTTTGAGGGGGAAGAACATCCAACAAGCAAACCAGGAGAGTGAGAGCAGGAAGGAGCAGGCTGACATTGTTACAGCAACAAGTTAAACCAATGAGCTTTAAGGAGTTCAACATGTTATTAAATGCTAAGATGTACATTTGTTTTGAGTCAGATGACTTCAGTGATGTGATGGATCCCAAGTCTTCATGAACTCGTCACAAACACACTCATGCAGACAACATGCGTGTTCATGTTTCCACTGTCAGACTTTATCTTCTCAGTCTTTGAGGTTTTCTCATCTTCTGCTGATGTCACAAAACCGAACATAATTTTTCTCATTCAAATCATGATCTCAGCCTGCTCAAAGGTTGTGGTTTCTCCTCTGAATCTTATCAGCAGGTTCAGTCAGCAGCTTTTAATTTATTTATAAAGCTTAGCGGAAGTAGTCAAACGCATGTCAGACCCTGAAGGAACACTCTCTACTCTCTACTCTTTATTTCAGTTGTAATAAAGTCCTGTGACACAGTTTCACAGTAAAAGTCGATAAATGGTCCCCCTGTAGTTGTAACATTTTCTTTTTTATCCTGCAGTTGTGTAACAGGAACTAACAGCTTTGTGGGTGTCCAGTTTCCCCTGGGGCTGTAACTTTTATCATATTCATCGTTTTAAGCCAATTTGAACCATCTTGTGGTTTCAGCGTGATTTGAATCAGCTCAGCTATCTGTCACCTCTCTGGTTCACACGAATATCCTTTATCACTACTGTGAGTGTTTTTGCCTTTCCCTTAAAGAGAAGAAAAACAGTCAAAATATGAACCGTATATCAGGGGTAGCAGTAGTTACTGTAGCTAACTGTGAAATATTGCCACGCTTGCAGCTGTAAATGGCCAATTATCATTCATGATCTCCCTGAAAAAGTCTTTATGTGTGCATACATCAGTATATCCTCACAATACACTTTATTGTAACACTTGGAAGAACAACTGCGCTCTATCTTTGGGTCTGCACTGTACTCAGTGATGTGCTGTTAACAACACTCTACCTATGTGTCACAGACTCCGAGCTCTGCTGAGGCGCTCGTCTTTGACACAAGTTACCACACCAATCACTTCCTGGGTGGTCTCTTTCACATTAAAAGCTTAATTTGTGCTTATGATAAATAAACTGGTACTTCTTGTTTTTTTTCTTTTCTAAGCAAACACTCAAAGCACTTTTTATTACAAGCTTCATTCAGCCAATCACACACACATTCATACAACTGCTGTTTTTATAAACCCAAGCACCTCATCTAACATTCTCGCACACTGACTTTGGCAGGCAGAGCTCGAAGAGAAGACGTGTGCTAACCTTACTGTAAGACAGGCCTGTCAAATTCCAGTCCTCCAGTGTGAGCCTCCTGCTTGTTTTTGAACTATCCCTTTCCTACCTGCTGCTGGTTACCTGGATCAGGTGTGCTCTGCCAATAAGAAGCTACAAGGGCAGGTTAATTGGAAAACAAGCAGGAGTTCGTACGTGTCCTGTAAGACCTCCACCCACAGGAGGCACCACAGAGGCGGTGCAATATATTATTTTCAAAACTACATAAAAAGGATGTCACCCCCCCATTCCACAACACACCGACCCAACATAGCACCTTCAACACTAAACAATATATTTACAGTGAGAATAGACTTTAAAACATGAAGGGAGGTTATTAATAAGTTGTCTTATTACGTTGTCTTATTATTGTAAGGCACAGGCCCTACAAAAATACAAACAGACCGATGCCTCTGCTGTCCCAGCAACACCCTGTAGGAGGTGCTGTAGGGATATGAAGACTACGAAGAAGATGCTGGTGCAACTTGTGTGGATGGTTTGATAAACAGAGTGACAAATGCACTTTAAATTCAACATAACATAAAAGTGCAACAAAGGAATATCTTAAAACAAAAAGAAGCCAATAGGAGTGAAGTCACAGATCAAAAATCTTCTGTTTTGTTTGTGCCTCTGATTTCAGCCTGTTAATTGTGCATCTTGTCAAAGAGCTATGATGTGACTTAATATGAGATAATCTACAGAAAAGGGCAGACACATGAAGTATGTAATAAACTAACACACTTTATATCATAACATCACTGTCTTTACTTATAGTAGTGACGAAAAACAGGAAATAAGTCAGAGTGGTTATCAGTTTGGTTACTGTGTGTTTCCTGATCTACGGTGATACTTAACGACGCAAGCAGCTTCTTCTGCTCACCAAAAACTGGAGAAACAGGTGAGTCCTGTTGCTCATCCTCAAATCTTTAGTATTTCTACTGATTTCATACTTAACTTAAAAGATGACTTTTAGTGGCTCCTGTCATGGGAAAGAAAAGCACTTCACACAGCTGCCTCAGGACTGCAACTGGCTTCTGCCAAGATTCAGATCTCACCTCTCAAGCCTGAAACATTTAACACCCGCTCTTTTTTGATCATAAAAAGATGTATTTGGGAATTTTTGTTTACACTTTCTGGCAAAATACAAATATTTTCCCAATATTGAACATAAGACATGATGATTCGAAACGATGTGAAACGTTGTGCTTTATATGTGTCAGTTTAAAACTAGTTGGTCAGATCGTATGCCATCTGTCAACAAAAAAAAAAGGTGTCATCTGCATACATCAGGATTTATCTCCATGCACATATAGACTGTGGGGGGGGGGGTTATGGCCTAGGGTTTTGGAATGTATGAGGCAACATGTCTTCCTCCAGGCAAATCCAAGTGGCAGCCCTTGCAGGTGATTGGCTGGCTGAAACCCTGTGGAGCACCGGGAAGCAAAGAGTGGACGATTGAGCTCACCTGTGTCTGTAAGAGACAGATGAGCTGTCACTTGGTGTGGCGTCTTTAGACTGAGAGCGCAGTCTGGGTCTGGGAGAGTGCGGTCTGAGAATGCCTGCTAGTTAAACTGTGTGTGTAAAGCCGAGCACTGTCCAGCCCCGCTTGTTTGTTCCGGGGAGGTTAGCTGTGTAGAGTTTATTGTACTGAGTTATTTTT